TGTGAGACAGAAGACTTTTATCTGAGGGCTAGACCATCTCCTGCTGTTTGAATCCAATTATGTTAGGAGAAATTAAATGTTGTGCATTGTTTATAAACAAGATGGCACTACAGAAATAACAGACTCCAGTATCAAATTTTCCTCCTAAGAGGAGCAACATTCAACACCCCCAAACATGGCTAACTGCTTGGGTCAAAAATGGGCTAACACCAGCATCAGGAGAGGGACCCAGTTTTCAAGGAGAGAAATTATAAGCAGGCATTCCTGTCACACCAAGATGGAGCAAATGTACTCATAGAACTCAAAGCAGGCCAAAAAGAACTAAAGAAAGACCTGAAATAATAGCTGCAGAGTTCATAAAAAGACTAAAAACACCATCCACAGGTTTCTGAGAAAGGAAAACATTCAGGGAGAGGCAGAATCTTTGGGTGCAGCCTACCAAATATCTAGACAGATGGGGAAGTCCAACTGCAACACTTCAAGTCTGGAATGGTGAGATGGCTCAGTCAGATCAGATCAGAGAAGCAACGAGTCTCATAGACTACAGGTTTTCCGCAAATTCCGGGACATGAGAAAAAGCTTTGGCTAATTTGGAATTTACTAGCAGAGAGGCTCTACAGCAAAATCCAAAGGAGCACAGAAACCAGATTGAGAAGGAACTCAAAAGGACATACACTGCAGTGAAAGTCAGCTATCAGGATGTGGAATTTGGCAGGTGGCTTAGGCAAGACCACACATTCACAACAATTTTCTTTCCTGTATGTAAACCACAGAGGCCCAATGGGGAGAAGTCAAACTACCCCTGCTTAAATAATGCAAAAGACCATTATCTCCAAGCGGAAAATATTCATAGGAGACTTATTTGACTTAGTTAAACATAATTGTACAAATTAATAGCTAGAAAGATGTGCATGAAGGGTTTCTAGCCAGTGTGATTAACCCAGTTCTGAAAGTCCAGCAGCAATTACCACCAGAAATTAGACTGAGTTACAAAGAAACATTCCAAGTCCTTGACACACAATTTAGAGTCAACCACCAGCCTGAGCTGGCCAAAGCACAACTAAGAGCCACAACCAAAAGGAAGTGTTTCCACCTACACTAGCAAAAGATCTGTAGAGGCTTATGTTCCTGGTGCAGGCAGCAGATGTTTGCAATTGAAAGTGGATCCAAAGAACATGGAGAAAGCTGCCTTCTCCACAGGATGAAGCTTGGAACAATGTAAAGTGATGAATCTGAGTTTGCGCAAAGCACCTGCTACATTTGAAAGGCCAGTGGAAAAAGTATTATTAAATGCCATTCTTCCCTCTGTCTGTTTGTCAGACATAGGTATTATTCTAAATCTTTGAAACAAGAACTGTACATCGTACATTTTACAAAGGGTGTGAGATAAAATGAAGGTTCCCAGTCTTAGACTGAACACAAAGGAACACAAGAGGTTTTATAGAAGAGGCAGTTTATCTTGGACCCCAAACAGCAAGGGGAGTGTTTCCATTGACAAAAAAAGAACCAGCCAAATCTTTCCACAGATTCTGCACTTTCCATACAAGCAGAAGAAGGTAGGGCACTGCTCCTGTTACGCACGATTTAATTCCGGTGCTTGCCAATATTGGCAGAGAAAAGGAATCCGTTTCAATGTTCAGCAAAATGTGATTTAGTTTTTAGAACTGAAAAAGGCTCCTGTAGTTAGTTGTTCCTGTCTTGGCCGACTTGCATTTCCAAAGTCCTTTCATATTGGACATAGATATAGGTGCTTATGGTAACGGAGGCAAAATTGACACAAAAATACTATGGATTTGAGCAGGCAATGCCCTATAACAGCAAAAGTCTAAGCTCTCCAAAGTTAAAGGAACTCTGAGCTGCAGCTGAATTTACAGAGGAATTTCATTATTATATGTATGAGAAGAAGTCTGAGGTCAGGAAGGATTGTACATCCTTGCAGTGGTTCTTTAGATTCAGGAATTCTGAGAGGCACTTTGCTCAGTAGTTGGAAAACTTCACTGTCATGATGTCACAGTTATACACACGGCTGGACCCAAACACAGTAATGCTGATGCCTGATCCTGATGGCCTTGCTAGGGAGCTAACTGCAAATGCTGTACTAAGGAGAAGAACAAGGAATTCATTAGAATCACAGCTGAAGGGGATGACAGTACTCAAAAAAAAGATGAATATCTTCTCTTCCCATAACTGCAGATGCGCAAATGATCCTGGCACACTGGATGCAACGATGCAAGAACGGAGTTTAGAGTGTAAAGGGCTTCCTGAAAGGGAAGCTGTTGTTGCCCTCATCTCTCCTGCTCTTACCTGTGGCACATTATAATGTTTTGGTGTGTCAATATTGGTCCTTATAGCTGTGGGCAAGTGGTAAATTTGGGGGGTTCCTTTAGCTAATAATCATCTATGAGTGCAGTCAACTGGATTTGATAGTCCAGGAGGCCCTTTCCAATCCAAAATTCCCATATTCCCAGACTGTTGCATGATGTATCAAACAGCAGCCAAAGAGAGTACAGAGTACCCCTCATTCCTCATACTTCGACATAAACTCAGGACAGACTTCAGCAAACCTCTTTTATGGGGTTCCTGATGAGGAACAAGAGAATGGGACCATCTGGATAATCTAATAACGCGATGATCCAGACCTGAAGGATCTCATGTCCTTGCCAGGAAACATCTGAACCTAACCTTTCATACATGGAAAAGTCACATGGGAAAACTTTTAGAAGACAATACCTGGTCTGGTTCTGCAACCCCAGGAGAAAGAAGGGTAGCAGCCCTTAGTTAAAAAGGCCTCAAGAAGAATTGTATAGAGAGTATGGACCTGAATAAATAAAATAGATATAAAGAATACAGCTGACTCTCAAGACTAACCCAAAGTTATCCATAACAACCATTTGAGAAAGAACCATAAGCACAGGACTTCAACAGGCATGATGCCCAAAACTGGGGACAGAAGCTGACTTGGAGAAATTGTTGCAGTAATGAATTCTCCATTAGAAAAGAATTTGTGACAAGCAGATTTGATAGGAACAACACACATTCCTTGGGCAGTCCTTGGAAAGGACCTGTCCCAGGTGGCAAGAGGAGAAAAACTCCAAGGAGATTTGGACGGAAGTATAATTGTTTTGTGTTGGTCATGGGAAAATGTCACAATAGAAAGATTCAGCAAAAAGATGAATAGTTAAGACTTCAAAACTGGAAACTGATTATAATATTTCTTTTTTCTTGCCTGGGATGGGTAATATTTGAGGCATTACTATTTTAAGCTCCATTGGAGTGAGAGGTTCAGAGAAGAGATATGTTGTTGTGAGTTAGGCATCACTTCAACCCTTCATTTAAGACAGCTGTAAGGAAGAGCTGAGCTCTTTTATCAAAATAGATCATCGTGACTATAGTAGCCTCCAGTTGAAATGCAGTATTTGTCCTCACCCTAAACAAGGGCAAAGGCAATTCAGCTGTAAGCCAAGGGATCCCACTGGGCATTGTTTTGTAAAAGAAAGGGAGGAAACCAGTAAAGCTAAAACCTAAAAGACCACAAAAAAGCATGAGACGCAACCAGAACAAGCAGGACCTAAGAAAAGACTACCGAGAGAGAAAGAGAGAGAGAACGCATTTTGGCTGTGTGCTGGCTGAAAGAGGCTTGAAGCTGGAAGCAAGGACTGTCTCCTGCCATTAGATACCTGCCATATACAGAACAGGACTGTGTGCATTCTTTGTCAACAGGCACGGCTGCAACGAAGAAATACGTGGCTCCACCATCATTTCTTCTTCCAATAGGAACAACCTACAACGTCACTTGGATCACAGGAGAAGTAACAGGGACATGGGATGGGCTAACTAGCAAATCCTGAATAAGGCAGCCACATGGCACACATTTTAGCAAGGAGTCTTGTACCACTAGGGTCAGCATCCAACCCTCAATAAACAAACCTTCCTGTGGTCCCTTCTTGGGGCTGGCCTCACCAGGGTCCCTTGGACTTTCCCCTAGATGTTGTTCTGGTGAAGCCCAACAACCGTTGCATCTTTTTTGGTATCAGAGATAACAAAAACCCTCCCTGTGCTCTGAAATAGGACCCACAGCAAATACTGGCTGTGTGGAAACACAGGAGGAGAAAGGGGCGTTTACAGGATTAGCAGTTCCTGGAATCCAGCCTGCTGCTTGCCAGTTTTCTGTCACCTTTCTGGAATGCAAGGAGGATTTGCAACAATTTCTTCCTGAACATTCATCTTGCTCATCCCACCAGCTGCACTTGTGCACTCCCTCCGCCTTCCTCTTGGCCCCTCCCCATCCATGTACTGTAAGCCACCCACCCATCCTTCCCTTCCATCTCCATTCTCCTTTATGGCTTCCTAGCATTTCCCTTTCTCCATTTCTCCTTCCTTCTTCCTTTATCTATTCCTTCTTTTCTTTCCATCACTTGTTCCTCCCCACTACTTCTTCCCTTTCTCCTTCCAGCTCCTTTAGTTTTTCCCTCCCACATCCATCCTTCATGGCATTCCTTGTCTCTGTCTCTCCCTCCTTCCCTCCTGTCTCACTATGCTGCTCCCCATCTCTCTCCCAGCTACCAGCGGCTGCTGAGAGCACTGAGCCCACTCTTTCAAAACACTACATCTCACACTCAGATGAAAATACCCATTTTAAAAATCAAGGCTGGAGCTGGAGATCCCTCTAGACCAAACCACACCTCAAAATAGCTGTGCTTAGTGTCACTGGCTCCTGCTCATTTAGGCTGGACTGTGGTCCTGACAGCACATGCGGAGGCTTCCCTCTCCAGCCAAACCTGCCTTTGATGGGACAAGCATCCTTATTCCTGGCAACCTCTCTCACCTTCCCAGTTTGCAAAGAATTAAGTTTCCCCCAAGCAAAATTACATGGGAGACAGCACCTCTTCCCCAGGGCAGGCTGGCAGGGATCCAGGGAACCCAGGACAGTGACCCTTGGGAACCTCTTGCAGGGTGAGAGGCATGTGTGGCTGTCTGTGGGGAGTGCAGCAGTTACTCACAGCTCCTTGTAGTTGGCATCGTACAGAGTTGCCCACTTGTTCTGCTGGTGTGGCTGCCACTTTATGGACTGGTAGTTGGGATCCAGGTAAGAGCCATTTAGGCTGTCATTATCTTGAACCAGGCCTATAACAACAGGAAAATACTGATTTAAACCATTCCATAAGGACTCCTGTCAGGCAAGAGCTCCCTGCACCCCCCGCTGCACCCAGAGTAGTATGAGGAAAAAGGTCCTCACTGCCTACTCACTCAGCCTGGGGTCCTTTCCCCTGACTGAGAAGCATGGCACAGCTGAGTCTAGGGCCAGAAGGAGAGGAGTTCCCATATTTTGCACGTTCAGTGCTGGGAACTCTGCTCTCGTTCACTTCTCCAAGACAGCACCCCCCTGCCTATACCCAGCAGACATTTTTCCTCTATTCCATCCCCCATCCCACCTGCTGGCACTGGGGAGGTGTATGGAAGCTGGTATGGTCAGGGGAGCAGGGAGGAGAGGGGGCAAAAAGAACATACCTGGTGAGAGTGCCCCCTGTTGGTGCCAGGGAGGCGTTTGGACTCTGTCAAGGCTGAGTGGCACAGACCCCATACCTGGCTCCTGTTTTATCATCCCGTTGAGCATCTGCGCATTAAGGGTATTGGGGGGCGACTCGGAGTGTTTCCTCTTCTTGGCAGGGTGCACTGGGAGGCTGCAGAGAGCGATCGGGAA